AAAATATGAGCATAACGTAACCATTCATTTGAGAGAAAATATCAGCAGCTAACCTCTTCAACAGCCTCAATAATCTCCAACAGCAATCATGCAGAGCTTAAACTCTACCATGACCAATGCGGTCATTCAGCCAGAATAAGTTCTCATTTCCACCAAGTCTAGCAAAATCTCAAGCCTGTGAAAACCATAAATCATTCATTTGATGCAAAATTTCAACAGCTAGAATAATCTCCAATGGCAATCATGCAGAGCTTAAACTGCACCCCGACCAATGAGCTGATCTAGCCAGAATAACCTCCACTTCTTGCGAAATCTCATGTCAAAGTAAACCATCCCCTCAAGAAACCCTGTTTGGCTGGGTTTTCAAAATCTGTTTTCTGTTTTTTCCCCCCCAAAAAAACTAACACCAGTTTGGTAAATAAAATGAAAAAATTAAAAATACTCTTCATCATTTTCATATGGTTTTGAAAACTCAACCAAACAAGCTCTCCAACAAATTCATTTTGGCAGTTTCGTGCATCTTACCTTGTTCAATTCTCAATAGAAAAGGATAGCTGCCTGCCACCCTTTCTCTACCTCTCTCATGAGTTTTACCTCGGTCAATAGCTTAAACAGCAGCTACCAGATTCGACCTGTAAAAAGATTGGAAAACAAGTATTAGAAGTAGAATTCAATAAAAATTGTACACCCATATATCATGGTTCTGAAAAATAAACTAGAAATTGTGATATAAACATATGAACATCAAATGAATATTGAGGATTTCATACAGTAGCTTAACATGATTATATAAAGAACAAAAGCAAGCATATTGAAGCTGACTAAGTGGCAATAAACACCTCTGCTTCCTCTTCCATTTCTTCCTGTATAACATCCCGTAATCTCATTAAAGAAAGGGTTTACATCACATAAAACCTGTTAGCAAGCTAAATAGACTTCTTCAGTGATGCTTATTAAGTTAACAAAAGCCACTGAGAACTTCAACCACTTCATCGCAGGCCACCCATATATAGACACCTGTAGTCTGTATCTCCGTCAGTCTAACTTCAATTCTTGAATTTCCACAAAGTAGGCAAGACTAAGATAATACAAATGGTAAATGGAAGAAATTTATCTTTTGTGGCCTATAATTTGGATTCCTTCACAAATTTCTCGTCCATGCAATCCAAATGGAATGATATATAACTATTTGCACCTTGATACACTAACAAAAATCTGTCATCAATCAGCATAAAGAACCTTAGAGGGAGAAGGCAAGCTGAATAATACCCTAACCTATTATTTAAGCATGGCAACCTTAATCTGGAGCCATTATTCACCATAACTCCATTATAGCCGAACATTTAAAAGAAGTAATCAATCATAATGTGGAAAAAACTCCAACCTTCAAACTGCCTTCAAACCTACAATTGATGGCAAAGGGAATAAGCCAACCATGATTTCATACCACCATATCATAAACCAACTAGAAGTTCAGAATTGGGTTCCACTTGCCAATTCATCTAGGTGTATGAAGCGGGCATTTATTATAAAAGAAGAATCTTCTCCTGTCCAATTAAAAGATCTGAAGCTAAAGATAAGCACTGACATGTACAGATTAAGGCTCTTGATCTCATTCAACCATTTCATTCAAGCCCGACAATTATTCTCATGGTTACAACCACGAAACCAAATTCATCTTTTCAAACCCCTTGTAGGTTGTGTGGTATTCCACTCAAATATTGAGGCTCTTGATGTCACTCAACCATTTCATTCAAGATTTAACAATTATATGCATGATGCAATCCAGCAACAAACTTCATCTTTTCAGAAGACTTTTCCAAAAGAACAGTTGCCTGATGCTCCAATAAACAACAAGAACAATTGTTGACTGATGTGATAACTGATATCTAACAGCAGTCTAATAATAAGTAATATGTGGTACCGGCCAAGAGCATTGTCCATGGCACCTAATAGCAATCTATTAATAGGGGATACATGCACCCACTGATACAATTGCAGATGGTGCTTCTCATTTCCTATCACAGTATCACTGTTTGCTGACTCCCCCATTATCATCTCCCTCCACAAAATTTGCTCCAAATACAGCATAACCTATCTGATAAGAAAATAAGATGAAACATCTAAACTGCCTGAGTCCTTCATTAGTAACTGCAACAACATTTTCTTGCATATGCCATTAATCCCTTCTAATTATCTATCATGAAAGACACCTCATCAAGCAACAATCACGCAAGTCTCCAATAATCTAAACATCCAAAAGTCACACAACTCAGTTACAATTATATTTTTTCTAAAGGACTGCACTACACCATCCTCCGTTCTAGTGGTATATTCACTAGATCTATCATAAACTAACTGGTAACAACCATACCTTGTTGAAGCAAAGAAACTTTTAAAGGTCATCACAATTTGAAAGACAAATACGTAGATCTATAGAATGAAAACATTATTAAGAGGAAGAGAAAGAGAGGGAGACCCAGAAAACAGTTTTGAGTGGTTAAATGTAATTCTAGATGAAAATAAGTCATCAAACATTTCAAAACAATTTGATCATTGGCAGAAAAGTGAACATATCACTACAAAGTCTTGCCTGAAAAACCAAACTTTAAAACCCAAGAACTTATAGCAATATCTTAGATGCATTGTTATATGACTAAAACTGCTTATGAATACTTGAAAGAACTTCTAAAGTAAACTAAATTATTATATAAATATTTATATGATGTATATATATTATATTTATATGTACACAAAAATAAAGGGGGCAAGGGAAGGCAGATCAACTACAAATTCTAGTTCAATATACACATAACATTCAGGACCTATTATATCCATGAAATAGACTGAAATACTTGCCTATGAAGTTCCCGTATCATGGCACGTGCACTGTCCTTTCTTTAGATACTGCAGGCTCATTTCACTGCACTTGTCCACCATGAAGGTGTCCAGAATATCTTGAAGAATATTGAAAGACCACGCTGAAGAAAGAGATGCAGGGCTTCTGTATAACCATAGTCTGATAAGTCAAGTTAGAATAGGTACGAGGTGGTGAACTCTTCCATCTATTATCCCAGTAGGCAGAGTTTTCAGATGCCATCGGTCGATCTTTGCATATATTAATGATCAGATGAAAGTTCATCCAGGGGCTGTCCCAGAAAGGGGCAATATGATGCTACTACCATCATAATGCATCCCTGATGTACCTACTAAGATGGGGCTCCAACAAATTTCATAAATGAAGAAAAAGACGAAGCTTATCAGTCCAGCGGCTGACAAACTAAGAAAACTATCATACATCCCCACGGTTCACTCACACAATACACTTTCTATTTCAAGAATCCCAAAACTAATTCAAATACCATACTTTACCAAAATATTAACTTGTACTGATCTTTACTACCCACTAGGAGTCTCATATCTCAACCAAACTCCTAGACATTAAACTCCTAAGAACCATTCCCAGAGGCTCAGCAGAGTATAGCAGTAAATTTTAATTCATTGGAAACAGCACCAGCCAAACCCCAAGAAACTAAAACACATGAAAGTCACCTTTAAACACTAAAACCATCAAAACCATCCCTAGAGGCTCAGCAGTGTATAGCAGTAATTTTTACTTCGTTGGAAACAGCAACAACCAAACCCCAAGAAACTAAAACCCATGAAAGTCACCTTTTCAACACCATCAAAAGAATGATTTCAGAGATAGAACCAAAAATGAAGTACGCAAACAAAACAATGAATCACTACATATATTTCCACTTTACACAAAGTGGCAACAACAGCACCATCTAGTACTAGTGTACTAGTTCATAATGAGAGATTCTTCTTGCATTAATGCAAATCCATTGTTTAATGTACAGAAAGCACTCGCTGTACTCTTCGAATGTCACCAGAATAAGATAGTCTCCTTACTTTAGACGCTGCTACAATGCTGCAGATCAATCCCAACAATAGGAACCATGTAAACAGAACAACAGATCATTGGTTATGCAGCAGTGCAATGCAGCTCAAAAGTGCAAGCCCTTTTTATTAGTAAGATACAGGTTAAGAAAACTCCATGACTTGGGTTCCAAAATACCTTTTACAGACATCCTGTCCTGGAAACTTCAAGCAGCTAAGAAACCTGATAGCTTCAACTACACTTGGCATCTTTCTACCTATCAAGACAGCACTTGAGCATGCTAAAGGTTCCAATTTTATCCTAAAACCAGGACAGAAGTTCTCATTCTCCAAGGTCTACTGTCCCTGACAAGACTGCGTGATTTCTACCTCCTAGACCTTGGGCTTCCACTACACAACGCGATATAAAAAGCGATTGCTTTTAATACTGAAAAAATCAACACTTCAAGAATAAGAAGTATTACAACTTATCTGATACTAAAGGTAAAAGGTTTTCCCCATCATTAATCAGGGATTAACATCCATGGAACTCCTTAATGTCCAAATGAATACAAACCACACATTTACCTATCCATTCTACATAGTTTGAAATGAATAAAACTAAACAGGACCACTCTCCAACAACATCCAGAAGGCAACACCCACAAAAATGAAGGATAAAAGCGCCCAATCCACAGAATTGAATTGCCACGTTTATTATGATACCACACCTTATTCACTAACATAAGGGATACCACATAATAAATGAATAATTTTCAAGACTGCAATACTTTCTTTAACAAGAGGCATCAGCCGCAGCAGTACAGACCTTGCTATCCCTGACCAGACATAATTTCCTAACAATCCCGTACCATCCACAGATACTTCCAGCATCCATACAGTTCAGTAAAGGAGAAGTTAAGTCTCAACAACAATAGTTAGAGAAGGTTTCATTAAGAGCTTATCTAATAATTAAGATAGAGAAACATACTATTTGAAACTTGAAAGCAATTAGCTTCTTCAAAGAAGTTATAAATATAATTAATCAAGCAACTATACACAGAAACAGAGTAGCCAACAAGAAGTTTATTTTCTTGCAATATAAAAGAAAAGGCAAGTTAGAAAATGGGAGTATATATAAAGCCAGATGTCAAATAACTGCTGTGTTATAACCTCAAGCAATGAACCAGCTGCTCAATAAGTCAAAGTAAAGTAAGCATAATTCCCACATATAGGTGCTTAAGATAACCATTAACTTTTAGATAGAAGACTACTAACATGATACGCACACATAATAAGAGTTTAACTTTCTAGCCTGTTTATATACTGGACAGCCAACAAACAAGTAGCAAAAGGGTGCACTTGACTTGCAAATCAAACATAAAACCATCCAGCACTCAGCGACGAGTCATCCGAGGTTTCTCAAGTCCTCCCCATGATGCAGAACCCGAACCGTACAAAGGACCCTTGTCAGCAGCACCCTGAGAAACAATGTACACACATTAGTCCAACAGAATAAAACTACACTGTGGTTCATGATCTTTCAACAAACACAGACAATATCTCATGTTATCATATTATGTGCATTTATACCAGATGAACCCCATATCCGTCTCCGTAAGGTGCTGGAAAACCCCCCTCAGGGCTGCTGAATTTTATGCCATATGGTCCACCTGCAGCCACCAGAAATGAATATAAGAGGTTAGAAGTATATCACTAGAATATTTACAGGGACAAATAGCACAGACAAGTTATTCGAGTCATGCTGCATTGCATGATAACCAGGAAGTTGAATTTGAAAATAGAGACAAAGGATAAAAAATAATTACTACCATTTGATTGCTGAAAAACAGAATAAACCAACCCAAGCATTGTATACCAATCTCGTGGGATCAACTACATGAATTCTTTTTTACCATTCCACTTTGTTAAGGGCTATATGCTCAGTTAAATTTGAAAATAGAGACAGGATAAAAAATAATTACTACCATTTGGTTACTGAAAAGAAAAATAAACCACACCAAAACAAGCCTTGTATCTCAAATAGGTGGGATCTGCTACTCGAATCCTTTTTTCATCATTCCACTCCGTTAAGGGCTTACGCTCAGTTAGATAAAATAAATTAAAATACTTTTTCACTGCCACATCCCATATCAGTTTAGGTTTTCCCCTCTCCCTAACAATTTCATTTACGATGATCATATCACTCTTTCTTATCGTTGCATCTACAAGTCTTCGTTGTATATGATCAAACCATATTAGCATGTTCACTCTCGACTTATCTTTTTTAATTGGTGCTACTCTTACCATTTCATGAATATATTTATTTCCAATGTTGCACGTCCTTGTCATCTAACCATACATCCATCTAAGTATCATCATCTCAACTACACTTAATTCTATGAATATATTTGTTGTTGTTGCCCTGCATTATATCCTATAAATCATGACTAGCCTTATAGTTGTTCTATAAAATTTTGTTTCCAACTTTCTTGGTATTCGTTGATCACATACTATTCCAACAGCACTTTTCCACTTGAGCCAACGTACATTAATTCTATGAATCCCATCATTTCAACCTCTCCATTCTCATTAATAATTGTACATGGGTAATAAAAATGTTCACACTTGCTATTTCCTATTCTTCAATCTTCATTTCTACACTATTTCTTCTTCTGTTATTACTAAAGTTACATTTTCATATATTCAATTTTAATTCTACTACTTTTTTACCATTTCGACTTTAGTGCTTCTCTCCAAATTTATATTTGTGTTAATTCCTCACTTAGTTCATCCACTAGAACAATATCATCTGGAACAACATACCACTTAGTTCATCCACTAGAACAATATCATCCGTGAACAACATACCCTATGGGACATCATCCTAATTGTGTTTAATGAATTCATCAATGATTAAGCCAAAAAAGTAATAAATAAAAAGTTGACCCTTAAAGCAATCATAAAAAAATTACAATAAAATGAAAACTAAGTTTCAGCTCTACAGAGAAACTACAAATATGACCATAGGAAGACAAGAAGGTCCAAGAAAGGTATGTACAGTTGATCCCAAATAGCTGTGATTACAGTTCAGTAATTTGGGTTTATAAAGTCTATACAAGAGGAAAAGAACATGAGGCGAGGAGGTAAAAAAAAAATGGTATACTACATTGCCAATTTGGGATCAAATAACTCAAAAATGATACATCAATGTAAACTATTAAAATTATAAAATTAAATGATGCAGGAATCATAAATCATTAGCAAATATGGGAGGCAACATCAAACACTGCTACATTATGACTGAATTAATGCAATGTAAATTTCTCACAAACATGTAAAGAAGGCAAAGCAAAAAAGGAGAGATGAAAAAAGGCATAATATACCAGTTGCCCATGGTTTGCCATCAGAATTTGCAAGTTCTGCACGTAGCTTTTCAACTTCACGTGCCATGGAAACCAAGTTATTCTCCATCGCTTGTCTCTGCTCCATGAGCTCAATATTTGCCTTCTTTTCATAATCAATAGCAGTTCTGCAAAACCAACTCTTCGCCTTAGCACATAAGGAGCTTATCCTTATTGTTTATTACCAAAAAACTGTAGTTAATGCTAAAGACCATGCATTATGCATGGGTCTTAAACAGGACATGTTAAGTATTAAGTCAAACAAGAACCTAGCCCGATTAAACTCATGGTGCAGTCCATCAATCTCAGCCCTCAATAGTGGAATCTGCTTATTATCAGCTTGCAATTTTGCAAGGTCTTGTGAGAGGTTCTGAACTTGCCCTGCCAGATCCTGCCTAATATTATTCAGCTTTTGAACTTCAGCACGGAGTTGTCCTGCCTCATGTCTCAGAGGTTCAGTAGCACGAAGATCAGCTTCCAGCTTCAAACCTCTCTCAACAAGCTCCCTCGAACGCATTTCTTGTTCTGCACGGATGTCACCAATGGCAAGATTCATGCGATGAAGTTCCTCCTTAGCAGCACCAAGCTCACGCTGTAGAGCCATCCGATCTTCAACCAGCCTCCGATTTTCACCCAAAAGCCTCCGGATGTCAACATGCTGCATTTCAAGTTCTTCCTCCAACATAACAGGATGAGGTGGAACAGGCCGAGGCATTGGAACCCGAACAAGAGGTCTTTCTAGGGGATACGCACGCCGATTATCAAATGCATCACGAGGAATGCGATTTCTCCCCGCCATTTCAAGTTATCCTGCCAATAGAAAAAGAAGGTGAAACACCAGAACCGTTATACAACAACATGAATAAGAGGCCTCTCCAAACAAATTAGAAATCAAAGTCTTCATTGGAAAGTATAATGTTAAAGACCAGTAAACATCTTACAACTTTTATTTTTTTTAATAAGTAAAAATCTTACAACGAATATCACAAGAGAACATCAACAGTTTTAAATAGCTGCACTTTTGTACATCCAAAAATCTCTTTACAAGTTCATCATCATGAATGGAACCCTTGTATAAAACAATATCCACTAAAATTGACATCATCAAATAAAAAATAGTCTTATTCCATCAACTGCGATAATGGCTACCAATTTATCAATTATAGTGCATTATTCTGTGGATTGTCTCAATGCATGCTTAAAAATGGAAGTGATCAAGCTGTGTAAACTAAACTCTATATAAAAGGGATTGTCAAAGAAATTTTTACAAAGACCCTCAAAATTTCCTTGCTCAACCAGCAAAAGCCACTTAATCAAAGCATAAGCCGTTTAACAAATAACTATTTATAACCCATAATAGAACTAATAATAAATCAATATCAGATTTCCTGAAATCAAACTAGAACTGTAAATGTAAGCTATGATAACAAGGCAAATACACAATCCAAACAACTTCAAGGGGTCATACAGTCACCTATAACAAGTGTAGCAAAGAAACCCTAATAGTAGTACCAGAACAATAGTCTTTAATCATAATTGTTAATTTTTATACATTGGCAAACTAAAAAAACAAACATTGTCAATTTTTTAAAAATGAGATTCAAGGGGAGGGAAATGCTCCGTTTGGTTGCCCAGAAACTGCAGAGAAAAACAGCTTTAAAAAAAAAAAAATTACAACTTTTTTAAGTAATTATTTTTCGTCTAGTTGACTTCAACGTATCCATAGATCACTATTGAATGCGTGGAAAATAAGCTACAATTAATGTGAGATCCAAAAGTTTGTTTCATTCTTTTATCTCCAGAATTTTCTGGGCAACCAAACACTATTTAGATAGAGCAACCGTAAAATTTTCAATCGTCGAGCTCTGAATATGAATATTAACAACAAAAAAAACAAAAAAATCAAGAAGAAGAATTGGAAACTAATTGATTCGAACCTTTTGATTTGAAGAAGATTGAGATCGAATTGAGGTTTGTTACGCAGTGAGTCTCAGATATTATATTCGATATTCTTAATAGAAAAAACCACGCAAAGCTAAACGAAGGAATGTTCTCTAAACGACACCGTTGTAACGAGGGTCGCATGCAATGGGCCGGGCTGAGTTCAAACTAAAATAGCCCAGCCCATCTTATCAACACTTTCTTTATTTACAAGGTCTGGCTCAATCTTGCCCTAACATTTTGGAGGTGACCCCATCCCAATTATCACTTTTTCATAATTTTTAAGATTCTGGACAACTCCACTTTTTAATTTAAAAGTAACTTTAAAAATTAAAAAGTCAAAGATTCTTTTTTTTTTCTTTTTACATTTTGCACGTTTTTTCCCTTTAAAAGTAAAAAATTATCTTAAATATACTAATTTTATTTATCTCATATTTTAGTTTAAAATTATTAAAATAATCTGTTCACAAACGAGACTTAAGACTAGGATTGCGCAAAAAAACAGGGTTGTGCAAAAAAAACCTTGTCAAACTACATCGACCCGCTCTGCCACTTGTGGTTTGAGAATATTGCTGGGTTGGTTGGGTGGATTCAATACCAACTTTTATGTGAGTTGCATTGCATGTGGTTTAAAAATTTTGGGATAATTACTTCTTGGTCTTACAACCAAACTTATTTATTAGTGTAACTTATTCATTTTTATTTATTTTTTTTATCTATGTTGTTGTGAATTTTATTTATTAGATTAATAAATTAATCAATGTAATTGAGAAATTTATCATTCTCATATTTGTTTATGTATTAGTAGGGTTTTTTAATAAATAAGTACAATTCATAAGACTTGCTTGTAACATAATTACGTGTCTAACTCACCAATACTTGTATATAAATTAAACTCTTCTTGTCACTTCTTGAACATATCATTAAGTATTTGTTTTGTTTTGATTTTGTAACTCATAATTAAAGTATGAAATTTTATGACTTGTAATGTATTCATATAATATGTTAAAATTTACAACCCGTCAATCTACTCAACTCGCCGATTTGAACTATCAAAGTATGCAAATCAAACCCACCAATTTTGTGATGTTGATGATAAGTTAAGAAGTTGTCTATCCATCAATGGCCAATTTTATATTGAGAATATTTTTTCCAAACCCACCTGCGCACACCCTTACTCCCCACCAAAAAAACAAAGATATGACTTTCTTTTTATTTTTCACGTCATTAATTACCATGTTTAAAATAATGAATTAATCCACATCATCTATCCTCTTCTATGCACCTTTCTCTATCCCATTGAATCTGATAAGTTTATAATATCATCTTTGCTGATATGGACAATTTCATGAACTAATAAAATGTAAGGGGATAGAGAAGGGAGTATAGAAAAATGTTGACTTATTTTGTTAAGTGGTTAAGAGACAAATAATTATCTACTTAAACCTCATTTGGAAAATTAATTTTTAGGCCAAAAAATAAAAAAACTAAAAATTTAACACAAAAATTACCAGTGTTTTGTATGGATTGCCAAAGGCTATCAAGCATCCATGTAAAAAGACTTGACATATACCACCTGGCCCGATTGACAAAATGAGAATTTAAGGTAAAAAGCAAAACTTTTGGCAACATGGTTAAAAGTTTTTTTTTTTTGACTTTTTTTAGTTATATTATCTCTTTATTTTTTTACATATATTTTAAAAATTTACATATATTTAAAAAAAAAAAAAAAAATCAAAAAACTAACTTTTAACATACTTCCCAAAATAGGTTGTCAGGTCGATCACCTTTTTTCATACAATTAAAAAAATTATTTTCAAACATATTTAATTTATTTTCATCTCATAAGAAATAAAAATAAATAAAAAGTTAAAGAGTATGGCTAACAAGTGTTCTTAGGACATAAAAAAAAGAACAAAAGATATGCTAATCCCGAAACATTTATTAAATTCAATATAATTTTTATTTCAAAACAATTTATAATCTTTTTACACTTTTTTAATATACTTTTTAATGTTTCATCCCTCAATTTCCCATTCCTTCTAATGATGCAACAAACAATTGGGGGGAGTTTGGGAGGGGGAAAATTAGGGAGACGTGGCATTACTATTTTCATTGATAAAAAGATAAATTACACTTATTTCTCTTGAAATTTCTGACAATTACAGAGACTTTTACTGTAATTTCAATAATTACACTAAACTCTCTTGTGGTTAATGTAATATTAAAATCATAGGAGAAGTCTTTGTAATTGTCAGAAACACTACAAGAAAATGTACTTTTGACTACTAAAATATTAGTCGCCAAAGGCTCATTTTTGGTTGCCGAAAGTCAGCGGCGACTAAAAATTTTAGTTGCTCAGTAAGTTGGGTATACTTTGTCGGCGATAGTATTGGTGACTAAATTTTTTTTGGTCGCTAATTTACTAATTTTGGCTATTAAAAATTTATTAGTCGCCAAAGGTAACCTTTTGGCGACTAAAATATTAGTCGCGGAAAGTTTCTACATAAAAATGAATTCAACAATTGGCGACTAAACATTTCAGTCGCCGAAAGATGCCGTGTTCTTTTATGACTAAAATATTTAGTCGGCAATAGTTTCTTCCCTCAATTTGACATGTTTTGGCTACTAACTATTTAGTCACCAAAAGTCTTTTGTTTCTTTTTTACTACTAAATATTTAGTCACCAAAAACCTTTACTGACATTTTTGGCTACCAAAATATTTAGTAGCCAAAATCTTTTTAGTTTTTTTTTAAAAATTAATTTTTCGACCACCTGTATTTATTCTATTATTAGTGCAACATGTATCTTGTATACAAACAAAATAATCCTTGAATTTTGATTATATTAACAACCATTCCACGTCTAGACATTTCACCTTCAACCATCCAAAAAATTCATATTTAATATCAAATTCTAAATGTAATAGAAATTCCATACAAACCAAGTACAATCCAACATCCAAAATATAATTCCATATATAATAGAAGATTAACCAAATTTAATTTCCAAAAGGTAATCTGTACCACACTAAAAAATTAATCTGTACGGCATGAAAAACTAATTGTATAACGTCAAAAGGTAATCTGTACCATGCCAAAATTTAGATATGTACCATGCCAAAAAAGTAATTTGTACGAACAATTCTATTCCATAGACTAAAAACAATGTCTTCGGTACTTGTCAAAAAGTCGTATTCACAATTTCATGCCAAAAACCATCTGTAAAAATAAAATTAATCATTAGTATTGACTAAATATTGACATATTTAAAATTATAAAAAAATATAAAACTCAAATTAATTTATCTTTTCAAATTAATTATTAATTTTGCATACTCGAATATAAAAGAAAAATATGTAAAACTCGAATGCATATATTAGGCAACCAGTAATTTTACAAGTACTCATTGTACGTAATTAATAATTATTTTCCCGTTTTTGGGCCCCAAACAATGTTTTCAACTAAGTTAAAGGTGTTTTAGACTACTCTCAACTTACGTGTCCTATTTACGTATCGTCTGTCCCTACATGTCATATTTGGCATGGGAAAACTACCCGTTACATCCCAACAATGATGGCAGGGTTGTTTTGCATTTTTGCCCCCCGAATGCCTTTTTTTGACTAAGTTCATGACATTTTCGACTCTAACTTTCAACCTACTTATCCTATTTATGTACCGTCTATCCTTACAGGTCACATTTGGCACGAGGAAGTTGCCTGTTACATCACAACATTGGTTGGGGGGGTGTTTTGCATGTTCGCCCTCGAATGCCGTTTTCGACTAAGTTTAAGGCGTTTTTTAGTCTAACTCCCAACTTATATGTCCTATTTACGTAGCGTCTGTCTATACAAGTCATATTTCGCATGTGAAAGTTGCCCGTTACATCACAACAGTGGTTGGGGGGCTATTTTGAATTTTCGCCTCCCGAACGCCTTGTTTCAACTAAGTTTAAGGCATTATCAACTCTAACTCCCAACCTATGTGTGCTATTTACATACCGACTGTCCGTATAGGTCATATTTGGCATTAGGAAGCTGCCCATTACATCACAACATTGGTTGGGGGACTGTTTTGCATTTTTGCCCCCGGAACGCCTTTTTTCAATTAAGTTTAAGACGTCTTTAGCTCTAACTCCCAACCTACACGTTCTAATTACATTCCATCTATTGTCACAAGTCCTATTTGTCACAGAGATGCTGGCTGCGACATCCATGTAGTGGTTTGGGGATTATTTTGCATTTTCGCCCCTAAAATGCCTTTTTTTGACTAAGTTTAAGGTATTTTTTACTATAATTCCCAACCTACATGTGCTAATTACATTCCGTTTGTTGTCAGAGGTCCTATTTGTCACGGGAAAACTGGCCATGACATCCATATGGTGGTTCAGGGACTTTTTTGCCCCCGGAATGCCTTTTTTTAAGTAATAGACTGAAGAAGTTGAAAACGAAAAAAAAAAAAAAAAGTGAGAACTATAATTTGCGGAGAATTGGATGTAAAATTGAGAACCTTATGCTCCATTTGGCTTATGTTCTTAATTTCATACCTCTTTTCTTATCTATAGAACATTAAATAATCCATTTTCTAGCCTTCTCTTTTTGCCCAATCTTTCCATGAACCAAATGGAGCATTTATCTGGGAAAAAAAAAAAAAAAAACTTTTAAGATGAAATCTCTAACTCACATATCAATTGATTTTTTGTTTTTTTGTGAACTGCTCAAAAACTTACTTTTCTCCTCAGATGATCTTCAAGTTTGTAGCTTCACACATAGGAGATACTAGAAATCTAACCTTCCTAGGCTTCCTAGACTTCACCACTCCATAGAATCTGTTGATTTCAACAAGAAGCACTATCAAGACGGTAGCACAATTATACAAGCTTTCTCACTAATGAGTTCTCCATTTTATTTTATTTTTTTGTTGATAAAAACCACTGAAGTCTCACTCGCATTGATTGTTATAAAAAAATAATTTTAAATCAGGAGTCATGTTAACAAAAATCTCGTGAGTCATATAAATATTTTAAATAATTTTAGAGCTCTAAAAGCCTCTATCATAGACAATAATGGCTAGTATTATACACAGGTATAGAAACACTCCCTCTATTGATCCCAAGTGGCAACCCAACCCATTTGAATATTCACAATCAAATAGGTGACTGGTTGGAATCCACAAGTAAATACACAAAGACCAAACTGTAGACAGATGTGGAGTTGAAACCAAAGGATGCACAGATGATAGATTATCAAGGGACATCTGTACAGGTTATCAAGAAGAATTCTAATCAAACCATTCTGTCCTCACCAACAATCCAAGCCCCACTTTCATAGTTGAATGTAAAATTTTGATTCTTAGTGACTGTAAAATGGAATAAGGTTAAATACAAGTAGAACCTGTTTCACTTTCTGTTTAAGAAAGAATGAATTGGATAGGTTCAAAAAAATTCCAAGGAAAAACATTAACTTTATCATATTATTGGTTCAAACAAATTTCTACTTTATACACATCAAGTTTGATGAGAGATCACTGCTCCTGTGGTATATGTGGATGACATTATCAGGACTGATAATCATCAAGAGAAAATACAAAGAATTGTGAGTTGATCTTGCAAAATGAGATTAAAAATAATAATAATAATTGAGCCAATTTAAGACCCTTTCTTGGAACTGAAATTGCTGGTTTAAAAGGAGGCATTTCAATATTGTAGATAATATGGTTGCTAGAAAATGCTAATGCATGGGATAAGCATCCAGTGCCTTTGGCTCCAAAACACTAAAATAGCAACTCCGATAATAGCAACTAGATGCAATAAAGTGTATGGAGAACAAAATTGACTTGAAGGTGCATGGAATTAGCTTGGCCATCATGCATTGTGATGCTCGGTTGGTGGCTCGAGAG